GGTTGAGTCCAGTACTAGGGGGCCGGGTATCAGCTCTGCATTTATGGAAGTCCATCCTTGGATGATGGGAAGTGCTCATGTTCTGTCCCAGCTTGCTCTTCTTTCTGTTTGGCATTACATGCTGCTTTAGATCTGCCTGATGGAGGTGCCACCTGTGGACTATGAAGCAGAATAGACTACACTGCAATGTTTACTGGTGTCAGCCAAAAGGTTGTAATAATTAATACAGCCATGGTGTAAACGAGCCTCGGATAAAAATCCAGTAATTTACTGTTTTATTGGCCAGGCATACCATAAAAATAACAATTGATTACAGCCGACTGTTATAAATGCTGTTCATTATATGTTGAGAGAACAACTCGATTATCTGAACTTTACGGACACTATTCCTTCATGTCCCAATTACACTGTTTGATTCAGTATAAATAAAGCACTTGCTGAGAGATTACAGTAAACCTATGAGTGGGGGGGGGGGGGGGGGGGAAATAAAAGTCTAGGACTTATTTCACACCTTTGGCACAGTAGGCATATAGTGCTAGATATATGCCTTAATAGACCACAAAGAGCAACCAGAAACACATGATGGGGAAAACTGAAGATGGTGCGAGCTGTTCTCGACAGCCATAGAATAAGATAACTTGAGGGCCTATGTTCCATTGATAGGCAAAAACTGCATTTTATAAAATGAACATCTTATGCAATATATCTCTGTCGTTGAAGGATAGAAAAACAATTCTTGCTTGCTACATACATACATATTTTTGTGAGTCCAAACAATTTCTTGAGGCCTCAGAGATGTGGTTTTACAGAAGAATGCTTAAAATACCTTGGACAGCCAAAAAGAGCTACCAAGAGGTTTTGAAAGAGGCGGGAGCCCGAAGACAACTCATCACAGACATCAGAAGGAGACATTTTTCAGCCATGTTATGAGAAGAGGGAAAATGGAGCACGTTGTGACCACTGGAAAGATCTGTGAAAGGAAGGATAGAGGAAGACAAGAGCAGATTCTTGGCAGTCTTGTTACATGGCATAGAGGTGTGTCATCACACAAACTGATCGCAGATTGTGGAGAGGCATGATCGCCCAAGCCAGTCGCCAAGGCACCTGGTTAAGATGATGATGTTCCATTGGGGGGTGGGAGGGGATAAAGGAAAGAAGAAGAAAGGTGCTTTGGAGTCTTGCAGAAGTGCTTTGGAGTCTTGCAGAAAACCACAAACAGGAGAATCACATGGATCACGATCAACTTCAGCATCACTTGTACAATGGAAAGAAGATCGATTCTTCCTCAGTCCTTGTCTGCTACTGATGGGGTTGTTTCCCAGCTGATGTAACTGGAGCTGACCCAACCTTACAAAATGGACACCAAACATGGCTCTGGGAAGCACAAACATCTGGCATCATAACCAAGCAGTGCCTGTTTATGTGATTCTGCCTTAGATGTATAATAGCTGTCTCATTTTCTAACATGGAAGAGTTCATTATTGGTGCTTATAATTCATAGCGCATGCCTCCTGGTGATACGTGTAGCAGAGGTATACCCATGCGTTTGAAATTCCAGAAGGGACACTTGAGAAGCAGATGTTTAAGATGGTGAAGTGATGGTTTCCTTTGTCCTAGTCTTTTGGCATCTGCTAGGATTTTATTGTCTGACTAACATTTGATGGATGGAAAAGATGCAAGTCTGGATATAACAACTTGAGGGTAGGATGGTATATTTATTTAGTACAAAAAATACTAGATGACCAGGAGAATTGAGGCTCTTAATAGAATGGTTCTTCGTGCTACTGTTAACTGCATTTAGACAAATATGTTCAGTCTGATTTGCTGATGCAAGATGTCAATGGTGAAACAAGGCCCAGGTTTCAAGGAAAGTCACCAGTAAAGCTTTGAGTGTGTAGCATTATGTTTGGTTCATTCTATTATGTTGCTAACTTTTAAATAAGTGAGCATTGTCCCAGCAGCATGCGGCTGTCCTCTAGGGACACCTGTGGATCGGGATGACGAAGTCAGCACACACGAGGCTACAAGTATTTATCGAAAATAACCAGGATCACAAATGCCTGAAGAAGTCGGATGTTTCGGCAGAAATGTGCAAATATCACAGCTGTGCTGTGAACAGGCTAAGACATTTACATCTCTCTAACGGTGAAGAAGAAACCACCAATGTTGTTTTCACAACACAGTCACTGATGGTTAAGTTGGCTGTTGTATTCGAAATGACTGCGACAGGAAACATTGCTTTAAGCAGCTTTTTGAGAAAACAGAATTACATTCTAAAGTAGACAAAAATAACATGACAAAGATCAGCTGTCAGCATATACCGTTGGATACAAATGAAACTTCTGGTGGTGAAGAGAAGCAGAGGATACTGTCAGCTGTGAGGAGGAGGTTTAACTATTCTGGTTTGTCTGATCACATGCTGTTGTTGAATATTTTAGCTAGTACATGCAGATTGTCTTCGATGTTGAGATATTGGAGCAGCCAAAACCTCTAGTAAGACATCAGAGCGATCAGCTGTGACATTAGTCTATAAATTATACCAGTTAATCTGGGCATGAAATTTGAAGGTAGGTAAATACTGTCTTGTTCAAATGAAATGAGCTGGGAGCCAGTTTGTAGACAGTCTATGAATGTATTCGACCGTGTTACGACTGCAGTGTCGTAACTGTCTTTGGTGCCAGAAAGCTATCACCGCCACACAGTTTAGGGACTAAATTTGGTATTTCTGATAGAAAAAAATTGTGTACCTTACCAGGAATTAGAATTCTTTCTCAGCAACAATTTCATTAATTCAACAGTACCTCTAGAGACAAATATACAAACCAGAAATTTTAGGCATCAGATTATGTGTGAAAATAATATATGTATGACAAGCTCACTGTCCAAAGGGGAAACTGGAAGAGAATTAGGGTTCTTGTCTAAAGGAGGATAATAAAGCTGCATGATTGAGAAAATATTTCTGTGTGAATGTTGAAAACATCCCAAAAAGTCGCCCAGGCAATTGGAAGTGGAAAACAGCTGGCTGAATAGGCCACTGCTGAAGGTAAATTTTAAAATGTATACAACAAATTGTCAAGGCATTATGATTGTGGTGTATGCAGATGTGGATCTTTACCAGTGCTACAGAGATTGTGCATTGCAGTGAGATTCAAAGTCTGAGCATTTTTGAAGTTTCCAGCTATGGTTGGATTGAAGGTTGCTTATGATTTGATATATCCACAATAGAGGAGGCATATTTCATCTTTTCTTTTCACCCTTAAAAGGACAGTTGTCATATTGTGTTGTGGTTTACAGCTAGGCTATGTCTACACTTTTTGATCCCAACCTGTCTGATTTCAGAAGACTCTTTTATTGGTCATCTGTTATGGCATCTATGCACAAACATAAATTCAGGGACTTACACTACCATAATCCTAGAGTGTTGCATTGCATGGATGCCAAGGCTTAGGATGTGCAGACAGCGTAGTTTGTGTCAGCATGTTAAGTTCTAGCCAATTAACCATGTCACCTATATGGCAAAATCTTCTGTAAAGTTAGTTAGTTGGTCTTTCCTCTTGAGCAGGGCAGAGGTCATAGCTCTCCATGTCTGGCGGTTTTTTTGCAACCTGCTTTATGTGTCCCTGGAATTTAACAAGTTTAAACAAAGCATCGTCACATTAAGAGCTAGAAATTCTAAAACAAAGGATGTTTTACAATGGTGACTTGTCAAGTCACTGATCAACAGTTTTAAGCCAAACTAGAAGGAAACACATCCCACCATCTTGACCCAAACATGAAAAATACTGTAGAATGTGCGTAAATCTGTTATGTGGCCTTGGAACGTATGAGACAGGCATCATATGAAGTTTCTCAGGAGAGGCAATAAACTGTATGTAATTAGAAAGCAAAGTTGATGATGATTGAACATGTTTTAAACGAAAGGAAAGATGCAACTGCACATTAGTTTGCATTGTTCATTGTTGTCTCTGATTCCTTGCTGTGTACCCACCAGCTGTAATTTTAAACACTAAACTTTTTTTTTTGTCGCAGTGGTCTAGAACATATTGCACTATATGTTTACGCCTGGTTATGTCTTTTGAAGCTTCTGAGAGTGAGCAGTTGAAGGAAAAAAGTATTGGAGAGTATTACTAGGGCAAATCTAATGAAGGCATCATGATCAGATTTTAGTGATGGCTGTGCCTTCCTTCAGAATGATATTTTCTCATTGGAAAATTGGGAATACTACAAACTTGAAACGAAAGATACAGGAAATTTTGAGATATGTTTACATACAAGTAAATAGACTTTTGTTTACCTGAAAATTATTGCTTTTTCTTACGTGATATTTTACCGTCAGATAAGTTTATAACATCCTAGAAAATCCCTATAATAAACATTGATGAGAAAAGGTTAAGGTGTTAAGAATCCATCTATATATCTAAAAGCATTCAGAGGGGTTAAAGGAAATAGCTGCAGTGTAATGTATAAATGATACAGCAGTATAATGGTGAATACATCGGCGCCTGTACTGATGGCCAGGACGCATCAGTGGCAGCTACAACAATTGTGTGCCGCAGAAGTGCCAGATCAGAGGGAGTAACCCACCAAATGTGTCCTGGTAGAGAGCCATCGTTACTGGGAAAAAAAGCAAATTACATGACATGAGCCACAGTGGGTGCCTCCTTAGAAAGCTACGATGGACATGTTAAAAAGGAAGCTAATTTGACAGCAGCAGGGCCATATTACACGATTTTCAACAAAAAATGCCCAATTTGACTACATAATGCAGTATTTTAATAAGGGTTACACTTTAAAGATTGTAATTATGAGTGAAAGCTTTGTTTATGAGTCAGCGAACCAACAGTCATTAATGAATAGGTTTATAACTGCTTTTGTGGGCCACACCACTATTGTAGAGGTGACTATCCCCCAGTTCTATTGACGTTACAGCTATGTTGAGGTACAGTTTTTTTTTTTTAAAGATGCTAATACTAGTTTGTCATATTTTTGTTCTGTCTAAGGCATTACATAGTGCAGCACTTTGCCAGCAGCAGAAATGACTGAGAAAACACCTATGTAGTTAGAACCTGATTGTCATTGGCCGCAGAATGTAATCAGCTACACCTGATACTTGGGTTGACAGGTTAGTGTGAATTTCCTAGTTTTAACTACATGTTGAGTGCTCTATTGTAGCATACTGCTTGTAACTTTTTGGGTCACTACTTATAGATAATGAGATTTTAATGATGTTACAATTTTAAACTCTTTTAGTTGTTGCAGCGTGTCATGCTCAGTAGACTTTTTCTTATGGATCCCAGCCATTGTGCAATGTGTTCTTCCCCATTTTGCTACTGGTCACAGCACACTAAATAAATCTGGCTTCCTAATTGGCTATGTCTGGTGCACAATTGACTGTTTGATTGTTTTGCATCTATGACTTTTCAGAGTTGTCAGCTGTCCCTTTGGGTGTTTGCTGCAAGATCCCTCTTCCCCTTCCCCTTCCCTAACGTATTGAAAGAGTTGAAAGTATGATTTGTTTTACCCAGAATTATATATTTTGTTGTTGTTGATTCTGTGTTCATTTTTATGAAGATAACACTGATCTTCTAGAAAGTATGCCTTCTTTTACTGTTTATTCCAAGCACCAAAGTTTAGTGAGGTCACCAGGAAATCTTCAGTTTTGTGATTTGGGGGGGGGGGGGGGGGGGGTAAAAAAAGCGACTACTTAGGGATTTGCCAAAGGTGCAGACATTTCATCCTAGCTGTAAAACTTGTGGCAGTGTGCCAATCCCCTTTTTAGATGGACTCAAGGAGAAGAAGAAAAGCATTATGTATGTATGTCTTTCAAGTTGATTCTTAACCCCCCCTCAAAAATCCTGACCTGTACAGTTTGTGGCGATTGCACTAGCCATGTGGCCCCAATCCTCAGATTCATGAACCCCGCTGACCCACACCTCCCTGAAAGTTGTTAAGGCAGGCAATTAGGACAATTTTTAAATACATTTTTTTTTTAACCTACAAGATTATTTTTCATGAATCCTGATGTCCCACACCACTCTGAAAGTTCTTAATGCAGGCAGGAAAGAATTTATAATTTTTTCTTTCTAACCAATAGATTATTTTTTTCACCCTGTAGTTTAATGTAAAATTCTGTTTTTTTTCCTCCTCAATTAGACTTGGTGCCTCTCACAAATTCAGAGCAACCGTGAGACTTATTGTGGCATTTCTTCTGGAGTCATCGGATAGCCTTTCCAGGACAACTAAAGAGAAAGTTGTGACATGACAGATACTGATATCTGTAAAGCTAGTGATCAGGCACTTTTATTGTGTTTACAAGAAATAGACTATTTGAAAAAACTTTCTTTTATGGCACTGAATTATTTGCATTACACTAGAAAACTTCTAGGGCTTTTTTTTAATTCAGAAAACTTCTTTGGTCATTTTATGAGAAGGAGAAAAGGTGGAGTACATTGTGACAGTGGGGCAGTTGGAGAGGAGGAGAGACAGAGAGAGAAGATGCTGGACAGTTTGACATCATGGCATGGATGATCACCTGTGTTGGAACTGTAAGTACACTAGACATAAGGTAGTGGATAGACTGTAAGAAGAAGAAGAAAACTTCAGCATACACTACAACACTGAGACATTAAACAGTAATGGTTTCAAACAGAGACTCGTTCCATAACTGTGTGTTATACAATAACTAGCACGACAGGTCTGTCCTGTCATATGGCGGGCTGTAATAAATTTCACTCACAACTTGTCAACCTTTGTTCAATAATGAATTATTTGTCACTTGTTTGTTTTGTCTCTTTTTTTCTTCTGTATTTAATCTATCAGTACCATGCAACATCAGCTGTTGATTATTCTGGGTTATTGGTTGTGCAAAGACAGTAAAGCTGTTCTGGGTAACTTCAGACAGCTTCACATTAACTCAGTGACCCCCGTTTTGGAGAAAAAAAATGTCTATTACAGTTAGCGCTGCCAAAAGAAATCTGCATTAACTGATTGTATCTGAACTGTTAGTTTCCCTGTTGTCCCAAAAGGCTATTCTTTTTTTAAAGTCTTTTGGCTCAACATTAGCCGCTTATATAGGAATCAAAAGCTGGTACTGAATATGTAAACACCACCAGCTTAAATGGTTTAGCCATATGACAAAAATGCTTAAAACAAGTAGCAAGTTTCTCCAATCTTAGACATGTGATAGCTTGATGGCAGAGGTTAAAAAAGAAAAATAGAAATGACCCACACACAAAAAAACAGTCCATAATCAATCACTGAGAGGATTAAGTACTGGTATAGTGTGAACTCGAAATTTTTAATTCTAACGTTAAATCAGTACTTTTGTATGGGGCAGAAGCATTGAGAACAACTAAGGCAACTAATAAATTACAGATGTTCATTAACTGGTACCTGCTCAGAATAGAGGGAATTAAATGGTATGATAGAATAACTAATGTAGAGCTCTGGGAGAGAACTAAACAAGCTCCACAGTGGACTAAGAGGTGAGGAAAAGACGCTGATGTTGGATAGGACACACGCTGAGAAAACAGGAAAACAGCATAACTAGAATGACATTGCACTGGAACCCACAGGGGCATAGGAATAAAGGAAGACCACAAAAACATTGAAGAGAGCTGGAGAAAGTTAGAAAGATGGGGAGAGCAGCATGTAATGGTGAATGATAGAACAACTTGGTGTGAGTTGGTTGAGGGCCTATGCTCCATTGGGGGATAGAAAGAGAAGAAGAATTAGCTGCGTTTCCGTCAGAGTGCAGCTGTCTGAGAGGCAAGGAACCAACAGTCTGCATAAAAATAAGCCACATCTGTAAACTGGATGTGCAGAAAGAATAAGACTAAACGTCCACAAGTGGATGAACGACCAGAATTTTCTGCCGGAGTGTTGCAGCTGGTGAACGTGAAGAACAAGACAGTGAAGCATAGATCAATGTTACTTCTGTAGCTCTTTCTCAGTTCTGAAGATGTATAGGGCATTGTACTTTTTACTTCCACCAATCAATATGTGAACTGGTGCCTGCGCAGAATAGAGGGAATTAAATGGTATGGTAGAATCACTAATGTAGAGCTTTGAGAGAGAACTAAGCAAGCTCCAGTGGACCAAGAGGTGAAGAAAAGGTGATGGCGTTGGATAGGACACACAGGGAGAAAACTGGAGAGCAATATAACTAGAATGTCTATGCATTGGAACCCACAGGGGCACAGGAATAAAACAAATGGAGAAAGGAGCTGGAAAATGAAGTTAGAAAGATGGGGAGAGCTGCATACGATAGCAAAGGATAGAACGACTTGGCGTGAGTTGGTTGAGGGCCTATGCTCCATTGGTAGCTAGAAAGGCAGACGAAGAAAAAGAACAAATATGTAAATGACTGACATATACTGTTAGAAACAATGGCAGACTTCTCCGGAGAAGGAGAAAACAAGTGGATCGTAACAGTGGGAAAGTCAGAGGAAGACTGAAAGAGAAGTGGCTGGAATGGCATGGAAGATTGTCTATGTCAGAACTGACTGAAGGTACATTGAACAGGTTGTGGATAGACATGACTACTAATGCTACACACAGCATGGACCATAAGAAGAAGAATGCTATCTTTAAGAACACATAACTTTTTTACAGTGCAACTCACAAACCACTGTATGCACAGTAAAATCAAGGCTAACACATCTTGAACATCATTATTTTTACTGCTGATAAAATATTACATAGAGATACATAAGTCTATGTCTGACAAGTGATGCATCTATGTCTGTCAGGACAGACTCTCATCATACATGACAGTGAAACTCGTTATCTGGTAAAATGCTAACAGACAAGACCACAGTCGCACATTGACTCTTCAATACACTGGTTGGCCCATGTTTGTATGCATGTAGGCTTATCATTTATTCCATAAAACCAATGCTTCAAACAGATTTGCCAACAACCAAAATATAAATAAATAAAATGATGCCTTGCCACAAACAACATAGGTTTGGAGTTGCCGCAGTGAAGCGTGGGTTCGCGTCCTGACTTTCTTCATAAATGACCTTGGCACTCAGGTCGACCCAGCCTTGAGAGGATATCAGGTACAATATTGGGAAGTAAAAGCGGCTGGCGTGGTGCTGGCCACATCATCCACCAAGTGCTGACTGGTCTATAAAAACATAGCTCTAGCCCAATACGCCTAGAGGCGTGGAAAAGGGTCCTTTACTTTACTTACACAATAGAGACTGGCTGCAATGTGTACACTGGGAATATTCCGCGTTGAGGCACTGATCTCTTCCACAGTGTGACTCTTGTCCACTGTCTGAAAGCCACAAGAAAGTCTTTTTTTTTTAAACTGCACACCATGGGAATTTAACCCTGCTGCATGTCGAGGACCACATTACGAAAGCATCTGGGAATTGTGCTAACTATAAAGGAAAAGCATCGCCAGAGTGAGCAGATGAAAACTACTAGACATGATTACTAGCTTTGAAGCCTTTATGAGTTAACTTCTATCCCAGTTAGTAATTTTATCTTACACTTTATCATGCAAGTCCTGCTAGACAATCTGCCCTTCATTATCTTTGGCCAGATAACTTCGAATCTGGAATAACAATCAGCGTTATTGATATAAAAAATTGCCCCTGCTATCATTTGTTTTAAGTTATAAATAAGTAAAGTACCCTTGTCCAGCAGCAAATGGTGACCATATTTGTGAAGACCAATCAGTAAAAGATGGATGATGTGGTCAACAACACAAAGCCACCTGTATTAGCCAATTTCTGATACAAATTATTTAGGCTGGGTTGACCGGAGAGCACAAATTATTTAGGCTGGGTTGACCTGAGAGCACAAATTATTTAGGCTGGGTTGACCTGAGAGCACAAATTATTTAGGCTGGGTTGACCTGAGAGCACTCAAGGTGATTTTGAAAAAAACCTTGGATCTGAACCCAAAAATCTTTAGCCCACATGCAAGCAACTAGCCCCTGAACCAGGCTCTATCTTCCAGAAAGGGTTATAGCCCTGATCAACAGAGCAAGATAGCCAG